AACACAAAAAGGAAAAAACCCCCCCCCCCCCCACCACCACCACACACACACATGCAAACATGAGTATCACATACACACACTGAAGATCACAGGGTTAAAGGCTTTTCTAAGCATGATTGACTGAGCGTGAAGACTTTCCCTTCTTTAGGCTGTTTTAATGGTATTAAAGAGGGATTAGTTTCAACCACTGCACTGCGTCAATCAAAACCACTACATTTTCACACACATTCAGACATAAAAGAGACCAACAACACCAGATGCATATTCTTCTTCTCTTGTTAATTTCCATATTATTAGTCAAACAATCCCCTGTAAAAAAAGAAAAAGAAGTGTGCATAATTGTATTTAATGTGCACTTAGTGTACTTAAAAGCACTCAAGTGTACTTAAAAAGCTTAAAAGTTTTTTTTTAAACTGTACTTAGATAATATAATACCGATGAAATAAAAGGCTGTTTACATTGCAAAAAAAATATTGTTTTGAAGTTTTAAATCGAAAGATTTTACAAGAAAATAATATTTCCCTTCTTTACTTTTCATGTTTAACTCTGTGTTAATTGCTATTTATTTGTAATTGTTTGTGAAATGTACTAGTAATTTCTGCGTGAAAATTGTTTCTACACCTTTTTTTCCCAGTTTTTTGACTCTTTGTTTAAACACAATGAATCACTTTTAGAAGTGCACTTTGTAATAATGTAACAATACATATTGAAATTTTAAATACATTTTAAATCATTGTTTTAATAATAATTTGTCATGCTTTAAAGAAGTACACTTATTTTGATGTGTTGACTAACATACTAAAGCAAAGTTCTTTATTATAATTGTAACCGATATTCGATACTACATTTAAAATGAACATATTTAGAATATACTAAATTGCAAATGTGAAATTAAAAACACAACTTTTAATATAAATTACGTTAAAATATATTTTAATATATTTCAAAATATATAAAAAACATATTTCAATGACAATAGAAATAATTATGGAATTATATAAAAAGATGTACTTAAGTCCCACTTAAGTGGGTCAAAAAAGCAACTAATTTCATTTAATATAAATTTAAACTATAATGTGTTTTATTTTCTTTGTCATATAATTAACGTGCAATTAAGTGTCTGAAATCATTACATTCAGTTCACACTTAAGTATATTCTTAAGTATGTTATTTCCGTAATAATTGCTCTTGTTAAAACTAAAATTATAAATTATTATAAAATAATATTATATTAAAAATAATCAAATAATATTATAGTAGTATGATATTATATAATAATAATAATAATAATACACATATTAAAAGTGTACTTGTTCACAAGGGATGCTTTTGTTGCACCAATTTGCAAAAACAAATTGGTGTAGGATTTACTTTGAAACAGTTTACACTAGTAAATTTCACAAAAAAAAAAAAAAAACGGCAAAGAAACAGCAAGTAACACATTGAATTAAACATGAAATTTTGAAGTAGAAAACTGAAATTGTATTTTCTTGTAAAACGTGCTCCAAAAACCTTGTTTTAATTACAACAACAAAAATGTGAGTGCCGTTCTGACAAAGATGACTGTTTTCTATTTGAATATATTTTAAATTGTCATTTTTATGTTATGCGAAGCTGAATTTTCAGCAGCTTCAGTGTCACACGATCCTTCAGAAATCATTCTAGTGTGCTCATTTTGGATTTCTTTTTTTTTTTTTTTTTTTGTTGAAAGCAGTTGTGCTGCTTCATATTTTTGTGGAATCCTTGATTGATTAAGGTTGATTAAATTAACTTAATTGATTAAAATCCATTTTTTTCAGGATTCTTTGATGAATAGAAAGATCAAAAGAACGGCATTTATTTGAAATATAATCTTTTTTAACATTATAAATGTTTTGTCACTTTTGATCAATTTAATGCATCCTTGCTGAATAAACGTAGCAATTTCTTTCATTATTTTGAACTATAGTGTATATACAATACAATAAAAGTACAGCTAAAAGAAAAGTCGTATTGAGATCTTTGACTTTTCATTGCAAACTTTGTGATTTTGACAAATTTCTGCATCGTTTGAGATCTGAAATCTAAAGTCTACCGAGGGTTTTTTTTCTCAGGAGAAACATCTGAGAAGCAGGAGATGTCAGCAGAAGTCTCCTTCAATGCTGTCTGGGAGAATCAATAGAGATATTAATGTGGGTCCTTCCTGTGGGTCCGTCGCTGAATATTGACTCTTTTATGCGTCTCACCTCATGATACCATCATATCTGGAGGCTTATTAAAAATCTCTTTCAAAGTCATAATCATGAATGCGGCACCGCTGGGGCGTCCGGTGTCAGTCACGCATTGATCTGTGTGCCTGTGATATTGATGGATGAACTTTATTGGTGAGGGAGAAGAGCGAGCTCTGAGGGAAGATCTGCTTAATGCTTCAGAATTATTGAGCTTTGCAGCGAGTCTCACGCCAGGGGGTTTGAGTATTAACCCAAGAAGTGACTCGCTCTTGTGCCTCTCTGTTTCACATTGTACTTCAGATAATTACGACAGGAGGTCCTGCTATGTAGTGTACAGTGTGTCATTTTTAAAAACTGTTTATGTATTATGTGATTGATGAGCTAAAATCGATGATCTAACCTACTTTACAGTACACCAAGTTTGGTGTGTGTACAATTTTTTAAAAATATTTTTGAAAGCAGTCTCTTTTGCTCACCAAGGCTGCATTTATTTGATTAAAAATACAGTACCAACAGGAATATTGTGAAATATTATTACAATTTAAATGAATTTTTTTTCTATGTGAATATATTGTAAAATGTAATTTATTCCTGTGATGCAAAGCTGAATTTTCAGCATCATTCCTCCAGTCTTCAGTGTCACACGATCCTTCAGAAATCATTCTAATATGCTGCTTTGCTGCTCAAGAAACATTTCTGATTATTATCAATGTTGAAAACAGTTGTGCTACTTCATATTTTTGTGGAAACTGTGATAATTTTTTTTCAGGATTCTTTGATTATTTGGCATAACATGCATTAGTGAATTGTGCACAATAAGACCAGAAACATGTTTTAAGAAAGTAAACAGCATCGATTTATGTTTTGTTTCTCCTAATCAGGTTGTTTGCAGCCAAATGCAGTGGCTGTCTGGAGAAGATCGCTCCCACTGAATTTGTGATGCGCGCACTAGAAAGTGTGTATCATCTAGGCTGCTTCTGCTGCTGTGTGTGCGAGCGACAGCTGTGTAAAGGAGACGAGTTTGTCCTGAAGGAAGGACAACTGCTGTGCAAGAACGACTATGAGAAGGAGAAGGACTTACTGCACGCGGTCAGCCCGGACATGTCTGACTCCGGTGAGAACAACGCTTTCTTTTCCTCTCGTCTCGTATGCTCTCCATGGAAAGGTGATTTTAAAAAGCTTGTTTCTGCAGACAAAAGTGAGGATGAAGATCTGGACTTGAAGCCGGAGAAAGGAGCAGGAGGTCAGGGCAAAGGAGCCGATGACAGCAAAGACCCACGCAGACCCAAGAGACCTCGCACCATCCTCACCACCCTGCAGCGGCGTGCATTCAAGGCCTCCTTTGAGGTGTCATCCAAACCATGCCGAAAGGTGAGACCATCCTTCAGAAGATTTCTAGAGGGAATTCAACCAAATGAACCCATTTCAGTTTTTGAATGTGTGACCTGTGCTCACTGTAGAGGCACAGGTTACAGTATTATACTAATCCATTATTATACAGCAGTCTATGGACTATCTGATGCGCATTGCATGTAAAAATGACAAAAAAAATAATGGACCATCTGATGCATATTACATCTAAAATTGGCAAAAACTATGAACAATCTGATGCATATTGCATGCAGTATAAAAATTGCACAAACTATATGGATCATCTAATGCTTATTGCATGTAAAAATGGCAACAACTATGGATCTTCTGCGGTGTATTGCATGTAAAAATAACAACTATATGGAGCATCTAATGCATACTGCATCTAAAATTGGCAAAAACCTATGGACCACATTATGCATTTAGCATGGAAATATGGCTAAAACTATGGATCTTCTGATGCATATTGGATGTAAAATTGGCAAAAAACTGTGAACCATCTAATGTGTATTGCATGTAAAAATTGCAAAAACTCTGGACCATCTGATCTGATGCGTATTGCTTCTAAAATTGACAACAACAAAAAAAAAACTATTGACCACATTATGCATATTGCATGTAAAAATAGCAAAAACGATACAGGCTATCTCATGAGTTGTAAAAAAATGTAAATGTAAAAAAAAATGGCAAGCACTTCATGCCAGTGGTCAAATGTCTGGGTATGTGAGAGTACTTCAGATGAAGTAATATGTTCCTGTTATTTCAGGTCAGAGAGACGTTGGCAGCTGAAACCGGTCTAAGTGTTAGAGTCGTTCAGGTGTGGTTTCAGAACCAAAGAGCAAAGGTGAGCATGTTCAGCGATCTTAACTAAGTCAGGGGTTTTCAATTCTTTAGATGCCATGGATGCCCAAATATCATTATAGGAATGCACATCCTAAAATGTTAAAGGCAGCTATATATATACAGCTATATAAGACCCTATTTATACTGTGAAAAATAATATTATAAATATTTGTGTAGTTAGTGTTATATATATATATATATATATATATATATATATATATATATATATATGTGTAGTGAGTGTTATATATATATATATATATATATATATATATATATATATATATATATATATTCAAATTATGTATTTATTTAAATCAAATTTATTTATTTAAACCTATTTTTATTATTTATTTATTTTTACGTTTGCTACACATTTGTCTGAGTGCAGGATTATTATTAACTAAAACTAAAATTATTAAAACATTTTTGTAAATTGAAATAAAGCTGAAATCAAAGTAAAAAGTAAAACTGAAATAAAAAATAAACCTAAATTGTTATATTTTTAAAAAAACAAAAGCTGCTAAAACAAAATTGCTAAAATATGTAACTGTGGTATAACGGTCAGATGAAGAAATTAGCACGCCGACAACAGCAACAACAAGAGCAGCAAAACCCTCAGAGACTCGGACAAGGTACTAAACACACACAAATGCGACAGAGCCAACATATGCAAGTCTTTAGCAGTTTTAACCCTGTTTTATGTTTCTAATAACTCATCTCTCTGTGTGTTTTCTGCAGATGTGATCTCAAGCCGAATGGAGAATCTGATGAACTCTTATACGCCACTGGCTCCACCTCCACAACATCAATTAGTCTCCATGGAGACCAACGGATACAGCACAGACCCGTTCCAGCATGGTCTGACCCCTCCGCAGATGCCCGGAGATCACATGAATCCGAGAGACTCGGACAAGGTACTAAACACACACAAATGCGACAGAGCCAACATATGCAAGTCTTTTGCAGTTTTAACCCTGTTTTATGTTTCTAATAACTCATCTCTCTGTGTGTTTTCTGCAGATGTGATCTCAAGCCGAATGGAGAATCTGATGAACTCTTATACGCCACTGGCTCCACCTCCACAACATCAATTAGTCTCCATGGAGACCAACGGATACAGCACAGACCCATTCCAGCATGGTCTGACCCCTCCGCAGATGCCCGGAGATCACATGAATCCAACTCTCTAACCATTAGGCCACTTCCACTATTTCACTTTAATGGCATAGAAAAGGACCTATACATTGCCATTAAAGTGAAATTTCTGAACCTAAGCATAGGAGCCTGATAAAAATGCTAATTTTAGAAGAAATTTTCAGATGGCACTTAGAGGCTTTTGCATCTGAACTCTTCATATATAGAAAATTTCTTCTAAAATTAGAGGCTTTTGCATCTGAACTCTTCATATATATATATATATATATATGAAGAGTTCAGATGCAAAAGCCTCTAAGTGCCATCTGAAAATTTATTCTAAAATTAGCATTTTTATCATATATATATTATTTATTGTTTGTTTGTTTGTTAAATTCTTGAAAACTGCTAACCAGAATTGATTTTTAATGTATTATGAATATTATTACATATAATAATGTCATTATACATATTAAAAATATATTTTTCTCATGTATGTAATTTCTTTTAATGGTATATTAAATATGTCTGCCTTTGAATACCCACCAAATAGTGGTATTAATTGGTTGATATTAAGGAACTGATAACCATTTAAGTAAAAATGAAAATTATTTTATTTGGGGTCATTATGATTTTTTTTTGTTTATAAATTAATATGTTTATTGATAATTAGGGTCTTTGGAAGAAGGGAAATAAAAGAATAATTAGTGTACAGCAGCAGTAAAATTAGCATTTTTATCATATATATATTATTTATTGTTTGTTTGTTTGTTAAATTCTTGAAAACTGCTAACCAGAATTGATTTTTAATGTATTATGAATATTATTACATATAATAATGTCATTATACATATTAAAAATATATTTTTCTCATGTATGTAATTTCTTTTAATGGTATATTAAATATGTCTGCCTTTGAATACCCACCAAATAGTGGTATTAATTGGTTGATATTAAGGAACTGATAACCATTTAAGTAAAAATGAAAATTATTTTATTTGGGGTCATTATGATTTTTTTTTTGTTTATAAATTAATATGTTTATTGATAATTAGGGTCTTTGGAAGAAGGGAAATAAAATAATAATTAGTGTAATTTTTCTTTCTTGGAGAAAATCAACAGCAGTACAGAGTATGAAAAGACAATACAGAAAAGCTGACTCTAGTGGCGGAAGACGAAACTTGAAATTCGCTATAGCATCTACAAAGACAGCCTTCGTGCTTTCAATGTGGAACTAGCCACAGCTAGACCTTCTCAAACCTTATAAACAGTAACTTAAACAACACTCGCACTCTTTTTGCTACTTTTGAGAGACTGACAAATACCCCAAGACAGATTGCCAGTGAAATGCTCTCCGACAGCAAATGCAATGAGTTTGCTTCCTTCTTTTCTGAGAAGATCAATAATATCAGGAAGGCGATTAGCACATCCTCAAGTTATGCAGAGGTCAGACAGATTTGACCGCAATACCAAAAAGAAGATACTATGTCTATTTTTGAAGCAATTGGCAGCAAAATTTTGGAAGAAATAGTGCAGCACCTAAAACCGTCAACCTGCTATCTTGACACATTTCCCACATCTTTTTTCAAAAGGGTGCTTAACTGTTTAGAAGCAGATCTCTTAGAAGTGGTGAACGCCTCACTTCTTTCTGGGACTTTTCCAAACTCCCTGAAAACTGCAGTTGTTAAGCCCCTTCTGAAAAAGATCAATCTTGATAACACCATTTTGAGCAATTATAGACCAATATAAAATCTTGCTTTTATAGGCAAGATTATTGAAAAGGTCGTTTTTAATCAGCTGAACAAATACTTAAACTCAAATGGATACCTGGACAATTTTCAATCTGGTTTCCGACCGCATCACAGCACAGAGACAGCACTCATTAAGATAATAAATGATATTCGCTTACATTCTGATTCTGGCAAAATATCAGTGCTGGTACTACTAGATCTCAGTGCTGTGTTTGACACTGTCGATCATAACATACTTCTAGAGAGACTGGAAAACTGGGTCGGGCTTTCTGGAATGGTTCTCAACTGGTTCAGGTCATACTTAGAAGGGAGAGGCTATTATGTGAGAATAGGAGAGCATAAGTCTAAGTCGACGTCCATGAAATGCGGAGTCCCACAAGGCTTGATTCTTGCACCACTCTTGTTTAGCCTGTATATGCTCCCACTAAGTCAAATAATGAGAAAGAACCAAATCGCCTATCACAGCTATGCTGATGACACCCAGACTTACCTAGCCTTATCTCCAAATGACTACAGCCCCATTGACTCCCTCTGCCAATGCATTGATGAAATTAACAGTTGGATGTGCCAAAACTTTCTTCAGTTAAACAAAAGTCTGAAGTCATTGCATTTGGAAACAAAGATGAAGTTCTCAAGGTGAATGCATACCTTGACTCTAGGGGTCAAACAACTAAAAATCAAGTCAAGAATCTTGGTGTGATTCTGGAGACAGACCTTAGTTTCAGTAGTCATGTCAAAGCAGTAACTAAATCAGCATACTATCATCTCAAAAACATTGCAAGAATTAGATGTTTTGTTTCCAGTCAAGAACTGGAGAAACTTGTTCATGCCTTTATCACCAGCAGGGTGGACTAATGTAATTGTCTCCTCACTTACCTTCCCAAGAAGACCATTAGACAGCTGCAGCTCATCCAGAACGCTGCTGCCAGAATTCTGACTAGAACCAGAAAATCTGAGCATACGAAATGTGCTATATAAATAAACTTGCCTTGCCTTGCCTCCAAATTAGCAGTAGATGTACATTTCTTATGATGAAGGAACGATTGATAACTTTCTATATTCAAACATTCTTAGCGATTTTAAGTAAATATTGTGTAAAATGTTATGTTTGATGTTATTTTATCACATTAAGATCAAGCTGGGGGTCTGTATTATTTGCTTTTAAAGAAATTAATTATTTTATTTGGAAAGAATGCATTAAATTGATCGAAAGTGACAGTAAAGACATTTATAATTTTACAAAAAATTTCCATTTCAAATCATATATATATATATATATATATCAAAGAATCCTGGAAAAATTGTTATGTTAAAAATATGATGGTGCACAACTGTTTTCGACATTGAAAAGAAATGTTTCCAAAACCAGCATATAATGAATTCTGTGTGATTTCTGAAGCTGCTGAAAATTCAGCATTGCTTCACGGGAATAAATTACATTTTAAAATATATTCAACTAGAAAACAGCTATTTCAAATGGTAATAATATTTCACAATATTACTGTTTTTGCTGTATTTTTGATCAAATAAATGCAGCTTTGATGAGCAGAAGAGATGTCTTTCAAAAAATTAAAAAATTGTACCGAGCCCAAACTTTTGAACAACAAACACCACTCATATTTTCTTTAAAAATGCTGTTTCGTGTGACTTTTTCAGTACATAGACCTCATTTTGTTGTCCTTCTTCAGGAAACGACTCGATTTTCCATGACATTGACAGCGACACGTCTCTGACCAGTCTGAGCGACTGCTTCATGGCTGCGTCAGAAGCCGGATCCCTTCAGACCCGCGTGGGAAACCCCATCGACCGCCTCTATTCCATGCAGAGCTCCTACTTCGCCTCCTGAAAGCAAATCCTGAGACTAAACACCCACAAAAACTATCTAATATCCATGTCTGCAATGCCAGCCTCACGTACGCCAGCAAACCTCCAGTATAAAGCCAACTTGAATCTCGAGGCTGTAAGGACAAGAAAACCAAACCAAACCAAACGACTCACGCTACAGATGAAACCAGATCTTGGCTTTGTGCTGTAGAAGACATGCTGGGGAGGTCTTGAATCGAGCCAGGTTCAAAGATGTGCTGGCCAAGCGTATGTGAAGATGGGATGAGAAGGTTTTCATCTAGACTTTGTAGAAAAAAATCTTAACCAAACATTTCTAGAGGAGCTGCAGGACATATACTGCAGCATATTGAACCTACAAAACAAGTGTAGACCGTAAATAGACAAATGCAACACATGCAAAACTTTGAAAACACTGCATACAGTACAACAATGTTGTTGTTGAATATGGATTTCAAATGTTTTGAAATAAACTCAAGCCGAAACAGCTGTGTGTTGATAAAGATGACTAGCTATTTATTACGTACATGTGCCAAGTAAACCTGCAAAGCTTTATTTAAAACAAACTGTGTTATAGTAAAAACCATAACCATTTTTATGTAAGTCCCTGGAAGAGAGTGTACTATTACTGTTGATGTTTAAAGATGTATATGTTTATTTTGCAGTGCTATTTATTTGTCATTTGCATTCTTGGATGTTGCAGAATGATGCATTTTTGCTCAAACTTGCTAAATTTACCAAAGTTTGTTGGTACTAAAAATAAAGAAATAATACAAAAAATGTTTTAAATGTTGTCCATTTCATGCATATATGGTTCATTTTAGCTGAAAAACATGCTTTAATTTTACATTTGAGATACTTGAAATAAATTATAAATGAACAAAGAATAATGAGAATTGAAAAAAGTTTTAGTAAGAGATGTTTTTATATATATAAAAAAAACTTTACATTTTTCTTTTACAATATTGTCCATGTCACACATATATGGTTGACTTTGGCCTCAAAATATGCTTTAATTTTACATTTGAGATATCTGAAATAAATTAAAAATGAAAAAAGAATCATGTGAATTGAAAATAGTTTCAGTAAGAGATGTTTGTACCTTTATATTAAAAAATAACTTTGAATTATTCTTTTAAAATATAGTCCATTTCAAACATATACATATGGTTCATTTTAGCCTCAAAACATGCTTTAATTTTACATTTGAGATATCGGAAATAAATAAAAAAAATTAAGAAAAGTATAATAATAATTGAAAAAAGTTTTAGTAAGAGAATATGTTTGTATTAAATAAAATAACTTTAAATTTTTCTTTTAAAATATTGTCCATGTCACGCATATATGGCTCACTTTGGCCTCAAAATATGCTTTAATTTTTGAGATATCTGAAATAAATAAAAAAATTAAGAAAATAATAATGATAATTGAGTAAGAGTAAAATAATTTACTTTCAATTTTTCGTTTTCTTTTTCTTCAATTTTTCTTCATTTGAGATATTTGAAATAAATCAAAAATGAACAAAGAATAATGTGAATTGAAAATAGTTTCAGTAAGAGAAGATGTTTGTATATTCTCTGTTGTCTGATTATGATTATTACGTACATAAACCAATATCTGTTCATCCGAACTTCAGCAGGTTTCCGCGTCTCATGAGATCCATGTTACAAAGAGACTTTACTGAACAACACTGCTGAACTTTGACCCCTGAAAGCCCCCATGTGGGCCTTCAGCGCCACACTTTTGACCCTTTAAGAGGCTCTCATGCAGAGTGTTTTCTGCCCGTGAACACATCGAGATGTTCAGTCTCTGGGATTTTTCGGCCTTTTCCAATTTTTACAATAACATCAACAAATTTATAATACACGTTATTTCATAATAACAAATGATCATATTTTAGTGTTATATGAATATAGAAGAACCATGGTTTCTCTCACAGAGTATTTGATGCTGATTCGTCATTATTTAATTTATTTATTTAATAATAGGACAATGCATGTTAATAAAGATATTAGTTTACACATAAATGATATCTGTAATTGGGACGTACTTGGACAAAACAGGCTATAGAATAAACAAAAAGGTTTACGTACCCAAAAGATATTTAAGTAAGTTTTCATTTTTTCTTTTCATTTTTTTGACAACAATGCCAGATGCAAAAACTGTAAGGTCAAATATTTATTATAAATATTGATAAATCGGCCGTTCAACTTTGATTTTAGAATACAGTGTAAATTTGTCCAACAAATTTGATTATTCCTGTCATGTTGTTGACATAACCATATTTGCATAAACAAGATTTGTTCCTAATGTTTTGTGGTATTGATAGCTGCTAACAGGACCTTCCTAAATTTAAGGAAATTATCTAAAAATGGCAAACTATTACAGTTTGGAAGTTCGCATATGGTTTAAACAGAAAAAATTAGCACTGTTTTTTTTTTATGTTAAAAACTATATTAGTTTACACATAAATGATATCTGTAATTGGGACGTACTTGGACAAAACAGGCTATAGAATAAACAAAAAGGTTTACGTACCCAAAAGATATTTAAGTAAGTTTTCATTTTTTCTTTTCATTTTTTTGACAACAATGCCAGATGCAAAAACTGTAAGGTCAAATATTTATTATAAATATTGATAAATCGGCCGTTCAACTTTGATTTTAGAATACAGTGTAAATTTGTCCAACAAATTTGATTATTCCTGTCATGTTGTTGACATAACCATATTTGCATAAACAAGATTTGTTCCTAATGTTTTGTGGTATTGATAGCTGCTAACAGGACCTTCCTAAATTTAAGGAAATTATCTAAAAATGGCAAACTATTACAGTTTGGAAGTTCGCATATGGTTTAAACACAGAAAAAATTAGCACTGTTTTTTTTTTATGTTAAAAACGAAGCAATGTTAGGACAAAAGACTATTATACCATAAAAAACACACCAAGTTTGATAATGATAGATTCAACCATTGTTCTAATTTGTACGTCTATAAAAAGCATCTGATCTTGACCTAAAACAGAAATGTGTCTTTCTTTTATTGCATGAGCCAAACGCTCATAACTGAAGGTGTAACAAGCTGTTTCCGTGGAGTTTATTGAGCAATTTTTAATATGACAGTGACCCACAACTTTGATCTTTTTGTGTAATTATTGTAAATTATATAAGGCAATATTTATCCTTCGCCCAGTCAATATCTTCCTAGGTTTTTGTGTCCCAGTGTGATAGGAATAACCCAATTTGTCACGCTTGGTTTAAGGCAAACAAGCATGTCATTGACTAATGAACTATCATTTACAGACTGCTTTAAACAAAGAGTGCACACATTCACGCCGAGCTTTACATGCATTCAGCTGGAAATTACAGTACAAGACAGATGTCAGTGTGTTTTCCGCTTCACAGAACACAGCAAATCTACACAGGTCATACACAGGCCAGATTAGGATTCATGAAAGTCATATTCTTGATTTTGACAGCGTTCCAGTGTCATGCATACTTTTTTTTTTAATCAATGTTTCTTTCAACAAAACTTGTAATTCCGCCTTTCATGACCACCATCTCTGACTCATAAAATTAAACAGACTGTTTTTGTTTGTGCCTTTAAGACTTCTACTGTACGTAAGCACCCTCTTCATGGATAAAGAGGAAGAAAATTCTCTTTTTAGAGAGCATTGATTGGACGAAACACTTGTGAGTTCTAGATGATGTCATCAGTATAGCAGTCCATGTTTCTGAAATGTTAAGACTGTAAAATTTAAAGGTGCTGTATGTAAGTTTTTGACTCTACTAAAGCATAAAAATACCATAATATGTTTTCAGATATTTAAGAAACATGCTAAGTTAGCATACTTGTTTATCTGAAAAACAATGCTACAGTCAGTTATTCTGCTTTGAAAATGTGCGTTCCGGGCCGGAATGTAGGTCTCTGTTTTGGTTTGTGAAACCCGCCCACTGCCAGTTTACCCAATTGTATGTTGGCACCCCGGGTTGCCAGTTGGTGGAAAACACAGCGTATTTCATTTCATTCATCGTCAAGTGCACTCGTTGCTGTTGTTGTCGTCAATCTGGCAACCTGCGTGTGCGTCAAGTCTGAGGAGGAGGGGCCGGGTGAAAAAACCCTCTCCAATATTTTGAATTTGGACTGCAATACCTAGTTCAACCACTTGGTATTAATCCTACATACAGCACCTTTAAATGCAAATGTGCTGAAAGTTAATTAGCATAGAGAAGACCTCAAAGCTACTGATATGGACTAAAAGACACTCAATGCTGATTCCTTGGAGTCTAAAGTCAGACTAAAATAACGAAAGACTTGGTTTAAAATAAACTTGAGATGCTAGTTGCTAATGTTCATGATATGTCCTCTTTAAGGCTACTACTACTTTTTTCTCCACTTCAGTAGCACTTAAACTTAGTAGTTGTATTCCTATCTATATTGTGAAGGTTTTTACTGAGGGGGTTTGTTCATATATCATTCACACTGATTTATATATTTACATACATTATTCCTAAAAATATGGTACAGAGGTTTTTTTTTTTTTTGGCTGTTTACAGTATTTTCTGATTTATGGAATGATAACAAGAGATAATCAAAAGTTCCTTCTGTAAAAACCTTTAACTCTAATATGTCAATAAAATGAAACAAGAAATCTGAATCTGGTTTTATGTAATATTCAGATTACATATCTGAACATCAGTTTTCCGCCTCAGAAAACAGCAACAAAACCCAACGTTTAGATTTCTGTTATGGAAATGTATGCTAATTAGTTAATTTTTAATTAGACAATGCCTCATTTTCATATTTAAATGTACCATTTAAGAAAACCTGTTTTACTAAATGTAATGTTTTAAGGTACTGATTAATTAACTGGGGAAGTGGCGATACTGTATATTAGTAAAAAATTTGACCCTCGTCACCTGTTGGTGTCTTAGTTTAAGAGTAAGACAGACATTTCAGCATTCGGGCCGTGTGGTGGCATTTGCAAGTGTGGGAAAGTATAGATA